TGTTTTGAGTACAGTCAGACCTCGATATAATCACCAGGTTGGGAAACAAATATTTGGTGTTTATAAAAAAGTGTGACTATATTGAGGTCAAATTTTATATGTTTATTAATGTCTAGGATTAAGAAATAGTGTGACTATAACAAGGTTGTGACTATATCAAGAGTGACTATAACGAGGTCTGACTGTATATTATTAAGACCAAGTATTTTTTGTTGAATAAGTTTAATTTGTATAATATATTTAAGTGTAGCTATAAACCACATCCTAGAAATTTAAATGGGGTGTGCTAAGGTTGTGTTTGGATGGAATAGTTCATAAAGTTAATGTTTGGAGTTTGGTAAGTATTGGATATTAATATTGATTTTTGTGGATTAACTTTGATGTATATTATTGTATAGAATAAGGATGCTGTTTGTGTAATTTGTTATAATTGTTTAAATGATTTAGCAAGCCAAAGTGTGTTATCTATATATGCAAATACAGAGGTAGATGTTGATGTTTTTTTATACTTTGTAGAGTTGAGTTGTGTAATCTATTCAACTATAGATGAGTATCTAGTATATGTTTTATTAATATAAATAATTAAAGGTTGTAATATATATGCCAGAAAAGAGGGGTTATTGTTTTTTCTTGGTCAATTCTGTCTTATATATTGTAGGGATGTGCTAATCTATGATTGGTAATAATCTGTTATATAATTTTGCAGCAAATTGGTAATAATTTGTACAAGTTGTGTAGGCATGTTTAGATATTGTAGAGCTTTGTTGAGGAGGTTTATATTAACTGAGTCATAAGCTTTACTCATATCTTGTGATAGAATTTATATCTGTTTTTTAGTATATTTGACATCTTCTAAAAGTTATTAAATATATATATTGGATTGTTAGTAGAGTTGCCAGAAAGTGTAATATTATTATTAGAATTATAGATCAGATATAAGGTAAAAACTTTAGTTAATTAGTTGGTAAGGATTTTAGTATAAAGTTTTTTGATGTGTTCTATGAAACTAATAGGGTGAGTATTGTTAAGACTGTCATTAAAGTGAAGTTTTTTTGATATAGGATAAATTCTACAGTTTTTCTATTGTTTAGATATATTTTGTATTATAAGATATCGATTAAACAATTTAGTAATTATAGTTAATATATTAGGTTTTGTATATTTGATTATCTTATAACTAATACCAGATGTCCCACAAGCTTTATTGTTTAGTAGTTGTTATATAGTTTGGATTATTTCTTTTATACTGATTTCTTCAAATATAGAATTGTACTATATGAGATTAATGATAGAGATGAGTTTATATTCTGTATGCCAGTATTGATTAAAAATTGGTTCATTGTAAGGTAAGTGGGCTGTCTATTTGTTAAAGTAATCTGTAATATGTTTTTTAATATTTACTGGGTCTGTAATGATGCTAGTATCTGTTTTGATGTTTTGAAAGTATATAGCATCCTTGTGTCTGTTAAATATGCTGTTTATCATTTTAGTTGATTGTAAAAATAGTTGATCACATCTTTTATCTATTGCATTATTGATGTGTTTGTGTAAGTGTTATGCATTTTCTAAGTTTCTGACATTGTATAGTGTTTTTCAATATATTCTTATTTGTTGTAACCATATTGTAAGTTCTGTTTATAAAGTAAACAGAGGGTTAATAGAAAAATTATATATAGTATTAATATGGTCAATAAATTTAGGATGTTATTAGATAGGTTGATATTGTGAGAGAAGACTCTTTTTATATGATACATAATGTTTTTAATAGTTTTAAGATCTTTGTGAAGTTGTGTTGCTTTAGGTATAAAAGCATAAAATAAGTTTTAACTGTATATTTCTTATTAGAAATATATTGTATTGTAGTATTAATGATACAAGTATATTTTTATGCCATGTTTTCTCTAAACTTTCATTTGTGTTGATAGTTAGTAATACCTAGTATTGAGTTATATTAGAGTTAATTTGGTTAGTAAAGTTTTCCTATTGTTCTTTAGACATTTGCTTGTATTCATATATTTTATATTTGTATTAGGACTTGTGATTGGATTGTGATAAAGCAAAGAGGAATATCCAATAAGATATTAGAATATAATGATCATTGTGAGTTGAAAATAATAGGTTATCAAGTTTAAAAGAATATAAGTAAGATATAAAGATATTTTTGATCTAAATATAATCAATTCTACTTGGGTATCTGATACTATGTTAAGTGTTCTATAAATTATTAGAATAGTCTGCCAGGTTATACAGGTTAATATTATGTAGATAGTTGATGAGTTAAAATTTAATTGCAGATGAGATAGTAGTATTATTATTAACATTAAAATTGCCTAAAATAATAGGTTGTAGGTTGTTAGTTAGAGCTTGTTGTATTTATGTAATGACTGTATCTTGTATGAACTTTCAGTCAGCATTGTTAGCTGAAAAGAGATATACAAAGATAATTCTGAGTTTGTAGTTATATTTGAAAAATAAATCAATTAATATGCTCCATTTAGATTTTTGTATATAGGGTTGGATATAATTATGAAGCATTATACATATTCCCTCTTTGGATGTGTTTGAGTTGGCCTAATAATATTTAAATTATTAATTATTAAAGAATTTTATAAGTGTAATGTTAGTTATGATTTCTATTAAGCTAATAATATATAAGTTGTTGGTAAGACAGTAGTCTCCCCAAAATAGTCACTTTTCTTGTGTGTTGTACCCTTAAATATTGTAAGTTGTAATGTTAAGTTTAAATGCAAATTCATATATATTATTGAGTTTTAATTCATTATTGAGAGATAGAGGAGATGCTTTTTGTGTATTATATTCCTTATAAAAATTGTTATATAAAGTAGTTGGTTGTATTAATAGAGTGTCAGGTTGTTCAAATGTTGTAATTATAAACTAAGAGAATGTTTTATTATTAGGTTTATTAGATTTGGTATAAGAAACTAATATAATAGTTTGATTCTTTAAGGCTGAGATGTATCATTGATGATTGAAGGTATAAAAGACTCTGGTGAATATAGAGAGATCAAAAACAGAGTAAACAGATTATTAGCTAAAAAGCTATTAAAATTATTTATAAAAAATCTCTTGTTAATATCAGATTTAAAAAATAAATTGTAGTATAAACTGAAACTAAATTGTTCAATTATTGTTGCAAATCATAATGAAATCAGATCATTGTGAAATTTAGGGGTCTCAATTTAAAGATATAAGCTCTACCAAAATCCATCTATACTCTTTTTCTAATAATTCTAACTCTAAACCCTAACTTAACTATAAAAAAAAACTTAACTAAAAAGGACCCAAAAATTTTTAAAAATCATACATAAAATAAATTAAATTTCATTATGATCTGATTTCATTATAATCTGGCACAATTATTGTATGTTAGGTATAGTCTCCTCATCTAAAAGATAAATATATATTTTATTTATAGTATTATTAACAGAGATAGTGATATTATTTTTAAATTTGAGTTGTTAAAGTATTTATAAAAAAGATTCTAAAGTTTGAGAAAATGATAAAATATCAATTACTATCTGCAAAAATGATTGGTATCAATTTATCAATTATAATCAGTTGTAATCATTCAAATCTAAATGATTACAATTGATTATAATCAATGCTAATCAATTGTAATCATTTAGATTTGAATGATTATTATCAATTATAATCGATATAAATCAATGCCAATCACCTCTGCAGATAGTAATCAATCAATATACACCTTATTTAAAAAACAAACTCTACTGACCAAGACCCACCAGATTCAAAATACTTAACCTAAAAATATAAAACAACTTCATTAGGAAATTTTGAAGCCTGATTATGATCAGTTGCAAACAATTAATTGATTATAATTAATTGGTTTCAAGCGATTATAATCAATGGTGGTGTTGATAAACAATTCATATCCAAATCGATAATAATGATAATCAATATAAATCTATATATATAAGTTTATTATAATCGATAGCTTTTTATATATATTGATTATAATCGTTGAAAACCCAATCAATTATAATTGGCAGTGATGACGAGAATCGTTTAAAATCCTTAAATTTTAATTGATAATAATTTAATTTTAAATTTTCTGATGTTTTTGCTATTCGTCAAACAATAAAATTATCCTTTCATTCTGCTTTAACTAAATATGAGCATAATTTAAAATTAATAATAAAAAAAAAAAAATCCTTTTATTCCAATACTCCACTTAATCATTAATCGTCATATCATGTGTAACTAAACTATCTTATACTCGAATAATAAAATTCAAAAATTACGGGCGGCGAAGCCGCCCTAATTACACATTCTCTAGTTATAAATATAATTTTTAAAATTATAGATTTAAAAATGATTTGAGATAATTACCTTACAGCAAGACTTTGAACCAACCCACGTACTTGTCTATCAACGTTTGAACTGTATAATCGATTATGATTTATAAATAACACAATTATCGGCCGCTATAATAATAAATAAATTAGCTTAGAATACGCGAGATTAAGGAAGTCACGAGACTTCCAGATATTCTCGTGAAATAACATGATTTGTCAGAAGCAACTTACCGAAGAACGTAATACATTTGACCTAACACTAATAATTCGAGAACAAAAGAATACTCTGATAAACTGAACATTTTTATAATAGATTGAATTTTAATATATTACTGATATCTATCATTTCTAATGAGTAAAAGATCGATCTTTAAAAACGATTTAAGATCGTGTAAATCGTAACTTATGCATGATAAAGCTTTGCTTAAATGTGTGCTACAGCAAAAATTTTTCAAAGTTCGTTTATGTTAGGGTTAGGGTTAGGGGTTAGGAAGGGGTATTTAAATAGTAAATTGTACTGCGAAAACTTTTATTGAGCAAATTTTCTTGATCGTGTTACGTTACACCTGATCTTGAAATCTGATTCGTAGTTCAGAACATCTGCGCCATGATAAATTCATTTGCTGGTTTTTTTATATTATTATTTTTATTCATTGTAGATAAATGGACGAAGCCAGTGAAAATTGTGAAGAAACTACAATTGATCAAGAAGGAGACTTTGATATATTGACTTTTGCTACCAAAGAAAGGTACCAGCGAGCTTTCGTTCTTTTTTTTTCTTTTTTACCGAAATTTTTTATATTTTTAATCCTCAGATTTTATAAACTTGGTTCTTCAATATTAAGAAAAAGTGGTGGTGGGATTTTTAAACGTGGAATAAAAGATTTCGAGCCGGACGGGTCAATTCGGCAAAATGACTTGTTAACTGAATCATTAAATACCTTGCAAAATTTTTTACAAGAGGAAAGAAGTGGGTCAAGGTTCATGTTTTTTTAATGTTCAATTTGATAACATCAAGTATATCGAATACCACATGACAATGACATTTTACCGTTGTCACGTGGTAAACCACGATCAGTCGTCAAATTTGCAAAGCGACATGGCATCCAACTCCGATTAATAAAGCACATGTCACCACAATACATGGAAACCATTTTCATAATATGGGTCATTCGATAAAAGGCGAAATGTGGCTATATCCCGAAGAAGCATTGTTCTTGATGGAACGTTGTGCTTTGGTCATTGATTGTGATGGCATGCCAATGTCAGTGCAACATGCATATACAATGCTAATCCGAGAGTGGTTGACTCTTGAAAAGTATCAGGTATGCGTGAATAAGAATGCGGTGCATTTTTTATTTATATGTAATAATAATTTTTATTATTTATAGGTATATGCTTATCTAAAGAGAACAGGATACACTGTTATAAGACCTTCACCACAAGATTTGTTACAAACTTCTACATCACAAGAAAATAAATTACAAGGAACTATCATAAAACCTCTATCACAATATACTGCGCTATTTTTATCACATATTACTTTTATATATTCTTCATTTTCCAGACTCGTTTCCAATTTTTTTAATTTCTTTATCAACTACTTTCCGCAATCAGATTTACATAAGGAAGAGACAAACTCTATAGTAACATCCGAATCATGTGATACTTATGGTATTCAATGAAGTTTTACATCTTTGTTGATATTTTTTGCAAAAGGTTGTTAACATATAATTAAAAATTCTTGATAATGCTTAGAACAAGTTTTTACTAAATTACAAATAATCCAGAGGTGTAATATTGATCTACCAATGGATAATGATCAAAGATCTACTTATACCATAGATTTTCACGTTTATAAACAATCTGATAACAATAAATATAAAAAGAAAAACCCCGGAATGCCATTTTTTCACGTAGTTGTTGCCTGGTATGCACAATTAAATCACGTTCTTTTTATATGTTAAATTTACTCTATTAATTGAAATATATTGAATCATGTAGCGCCGAATCAGATCAACCACCAGTTCTTTCAACGCTTGAAAATTTATTCAAAACCGGAAATTCTAGCGTGTTATTTGCAGTGGTTGATGGTGCTAATATATCGTTTTTAGAATTTAAAGATATGAACTTCACGAAAGTTGAGATTGTTTGAACTAGAAAACAAATAAATAACAACTGGGTTTGGTCAGAATAATAATTTCTGAATAGATTAGTAGATTCATCAAAATTCAGCAAATTGGTCCGAATTTGGGATCAAAGATGGGCTAGAGCAAAGTGGTATTAAACAATAATACCAGATAACTATATTATAACAAAATTATCATTTGGGCAGCTTTACTTAGTGCATAGGCTGCCACTTTATTAGTAAAATTTTGGGTGATTTTAGAAA